AAAAAGACGAGCAACGGCAATTGGCATTGAAAGAGGCAAAAGAAATGCAGACGGCGGAGCTCAGTCCGACACGAAGTGATAGCGCCATTGGACAGACTGAGGTGAAAAAATCGCGTAGGGCGCGACGTTCTGCATCTGCAATCGAGGAGGATACGAACACAGCCGCCACGCCAAACGGCGGCAAAGATTTATGTGAGACGCCTACTCCATTGCTGGCCGTCAAAAAGACATCACCGACTGGCGCGGTAGTTGTAGCAGGTGCTAATTGTATGCCAGTTGCCAGCTCGGTTATGCAACAAGAACCGCAAAAACAACAACGCGCACATACCAAGTCAAGCAATGCAAATAGCAGCAGCAAAAATGCTTCCGATGCAGTCAAGCAGCTTGAAGTGTGCAACAGCGCACACGCCACCGACGATGACGATGTCTTCTATGATGCACGCAGCGAGGACTCGGGAGGTACGGCACACAGCGCTGCGTCGAGCAATCTGCTGCGCCAACAAGGCACGGCGACAGTCAAAAGCAGAAATGAGCGATGCTCGTTACTCCGGGATATGGTAAGTGTGCGCGCGCGCGTGTATGCGTGTAATATGTGGTATGAATTTGCACTACAATGCATAGAAATTTTAGTTAAACGCAAGTCTTAGCATACCTACAGGCGCCGCAGCACATGTTTGCACTCAACTTCAATATGCCTTTACTTGCTGGGTTGCTCTTACATAGCTGTGGCACGTCGTAACTTTTTCGTGCTGTTGTTATTATTGTTTTTGTTTTTTTTTTTTTGTGTTTTAACTTCACTGCAAGTTGTTAGCTCAGTGATTGTGCAACAAAGTTTTGCCACTTTATAAGTTTTCTGTTCTTTCTTTGTTTATTCGTCGAATAGCGCAACGCTTCTATCTACCTGAGCGCTGACTAGTGTTTGCACTGCCATTGTTTTTGTCGTTTTATGTTGCAGTTGTCTGGATTTACTTGTCAAGCCGCCCGCCAAGCAAAGGCTTAATAGTTTTGTTGTTGACATCGGAAACTTTTCTATGCATACTTTGTGCCGCACATCATTTTGGGGGGTGGTAAGGATGAGTGTTGATACATAACATTTCCGAAACCCTGCAGCTTTACATTTCATTGCGTAGTATTGTTGAGATATTTAATTAATAAAACAATTTATATTAAATGAGTTGAAGCACCAGAAGTCAAGTCTGCCAGCAGGCAGCACACTGACACTAGTCCCACGCGTCTACCGTGTTGCTCTCGCACAGTGTGTAGAATGGACTTTTTTTGTGACAAAATCGAATATTTCGAGAACGAAATCAGCTAACGAAATATATTTAAGAGTATTTTGAAGCTTTTGAGTACGGATATTAAGACCAAATAGTTAGTTTGAAAAAAATTGCCTTCACCTTACAAATAACGTCAAAAAAAGGTTTTAAATCTTTCAATTTTTTGCACAGTATGCAGTGAATTTGTTTTACTTTTAAACACATCGATCGCTTAATAATAGAGAGCATTTATTAACAATTTTAATTTCTGGGGAAAATGCATTTAAATTTTTAGCAAGTCATAAATTTTGCTGGTCGAAAGACATATATTTTCGACATTTCAAAATGACCTTCATAAGTAAAATATTTGATTTTTAGCTCAAAAAAAGAACACAATTTGAAGCCCTTTATTTTTGAAGTTTTTTTTTTTAAGATCAAGGTAATTGTTTTATCAAAACTATGTTTCCCTCAAATTCCTTGAAATACTGTGAAATATATTACGCCAGCTGTTATCCTTCTCGAGATATTAGATTTTATGTTAAAAAAAAGTTGATTTTCTATACTGTGCGGCGCCAAGTACGGAATTTGGAATAAAGAGGTGGGAGAGGTGAGAGTGTGGAAAAATGAATTATTTTGACTTTTATGGTTTAGATATATATATGCACTATGCTCTTACTTAAAACCATTCATTCGTATACATATGTATATGTACCATTTATCTCCATTTATGCACCATTCCTTCCCTTGTAAAAACTCTTAGAATAAATAGCTGAATAAAGCGGTTTTTCTAATAGAATTATTTCTTTCGAAGTTAAATTTGTTTGTGTGCAAATGCAAACGAAACAGCGACAGAGGAAGAGCAGTAATGGTGGAGGTAATTGGGCCCGATTCATTAGCGCGCACCAGAGGTGGGTTTTGGTGTTCAAACCCCGATTGGAAAGAAAGTTACTCATACGCCACGTACACCTGAGTAACAGGCTTTTCTGCTAATATTTCATAACAAAAAATCTTTGCATGTTTTTCATTTGACCGCTCATTACTTTTTTATTTATCCCTCGCTTTCCTTCATTAGTAACTTGATTGTTTTTTTTTAGTACAAATGCAAAAATTTGGCACATAACCTGTTATTTTTTAAATTTTTCTTCTGTTAAAGTTAGGTTTTTATTTCATTTTTTCATTAAAATATAAAAAAATGGAATGATTAATTTTTTTTTTCTGAAACTAACCGTCCTAGCGGAAAAGGATGTATATATAGTTTATGGAGAATTTTATTAGCTTTGATTTGACGTATCTCATTTTATGATTATTAAATTGGTTCGTACGATATACGTGATTAAGCTGAATAACGGTAAATTGCAATTATCTGGAAAACGTATCCATAGAAAAAAAATGAATTCGATTTGCGGAGTCACCGAACAATTCTACATAGAAATAGAAATAGATAGTGGCGTCTGGAGAACAACCAAACCAAACTAAACTTTGTGATCCAGTGTAATGTTCGGCGGTTATATTTCGGGGAATCACAAGAAAATATGCCAAGCGTCTGCAAACTGCGAAACGATTCTAGATAGTTATATTAATATATGTATCTATATGTATGTATATATACTATTACTTCATAAAAGGCGCAATCCACAAACAGATAAAAGGTATCTTAAGTCGAATCAGGAAAAAATTTGTTATATAATCTCTAGAAGCAGCCAAGGAAAAAAAAGTAAACAGAGAAAAGTTATATGTATGTATGTATACTAGGGTGGTGCAAAAAAAATGCATGTAAAAAATGAAATCGAAATTTTAATGGTCTCACCCCTTAGCATTGTTCTATACAAAAAAAAATATACCCCTATTTTTTCAAAATAAAAAAGGGGGCTGTTTTTTGCGATATAGAATAACACTAGGGGGTGAGAGTATTAAAATTCCCACTTTACTTATTTTGGACCACCCTAATATATACACATGCATACAGCACCCAGAAAGAGTACATAGTTTGACAATGAATTTGTACTAAGTCGCCTCGCCGAATCCTCGCATCAACTGAAACAAAGCCAAATATAATAGGACAAAGCTCTCAAATGAAGGTAGACAGTGTTTGCATGCCAAGCTAAACAATGACATCCAAAAGTTCGATGTGCTAGTTGTAAAAGAAATGGGGANTAGATCAAGTATATGACGGGTCTTTTTTGGTTCAATGCATATTTATATCCGAATTCGTATTCATATTTACATTACTGTTTTATCGCGCTAGTAGCTCGGTAAAGCATTTTAAACCTTTATATGTAGAAGATACTTTTCTTGTCAACTTCCGTTTTATATAGCGGGAGCCTGCAGCTATTGTTTTCCCTTAATAAGTAAGTCGTACCGTTTGTTCAAAATAAATCGGATATCACTGTTTTGCTTACTCTGAAATTCATTAATTTGTGTATCGCCAGTTGTGAAAAAGATCGTTGGACAGTATATGAAGTGCGGTTTAACTATAAAGCAATAGACCTCCTTCTTAGATACTTACAACCATTTGTATAAACAATCAAGACCTTCTTTCGTCTTTATCAATGCAATAGGTATGTTTCTGTCGCTGATCGTTAAGAGCGTCAGTTTTAGCTTACAGTGTTTCGAAACTGATTTTATATCATCGATATAAATATTAAAAGTAGTGGAGCTACAACCGACTGCTACCTTTATTGATAAAGATGAGTCGATCAGTGTTTGTTGCTTTCGATTTGAAAGGAAACTACAGAACTATTTAAGTTCGATATTCTCTAAATAAATATACTCCAGTTTTTTCAATTATCTAAAGAACAAACTTGTTGTGAAGAAGATTCGCCTTTGAGTTTCAAGGCCAACTAGTTGTTGGTGTCAGTGCTACTACATTTAGTGAAAGCCATGTAATTTTATAACCAATTTTTTTTCTGTCTTTTTAAATGCATATTTTGCTAGATACGGCTTCTTGCTGATTTTAAAGATAAAGAGCCGCGTTCTGCAGTTGCATTAATACTATTTATATTACCGTTAGTTTAAAGCGTTAAATCATGACGTTCCCCTTTGCTTTTATTTGCCAAACATTTAAAGTCAATAATTATTTACTACCGAAACAACTCATAACTCAAACGAGGTAATCAATGCCATAGTAAGCCGGTGTGACAACTACTCCGCATAGAAGTTTCTTTTGAAGTTTTATCCAGCATTAATGATACAGCTGTTGCAGGTGGGTTAGATGTTTCAGCAACAGCAAAACATTTCCAGTTGCTCTTAGAAATTAAATTCTTTAAGACACGTACATACAAATATTTTACATGTTATACTTTAAAGGGGCGTATGTACGTATGTTTGTAAGTATTACTTACATAAATATTTGTACATTACAGACTGCAACGAGCCCTGAATCCAACCGAGGGCAGCACAAAGAAGCACAACAAAAACAACCACAAGGGTGGCAGCAGCGTTTTGCCAGCGGCAGTGACATTATATCGGACACATACAGCGCCGTCGCCCCACTGCAGTCAGGTCCTGTGAATGACGAGGACAATGCGACCACAGCACAAACGAAATCCAAGGACACGCTTGCGGCTACCAGCGAGAGCGTAAGAACTGAACGAACAACGAAAAGCGCAACGACCAAAAGCGACGAAGCAAATGCAGCTGCCAAATGTGCACAAGCTGGCGCTGAAGCTGAAGCTGAAGATGTGACTAATGTTGCTACAAATGGAGCAACAGGGTCCTCGGCGATGGCATTGAACCTGGACGAGGCAACAACGGCAACAGTGGCCACTACAGCTCTGGCAAGTGAGCAACATAAAGATGTGGGTGGCAGCGGAAGTGCTGGCGGGGGCAGAGATAGTCATTCGCGCCGAGAGAAAAAGAGGCGCGGCGCCAGCAGCAGCAACAGCAGAGAATCGTCTAGCAGGCAGCATAAAGCTGCTGCGACGCCGGTTATGACTATAAGTTGCGACACATGTTGCCAAGTGGAATGCGAACAATACCAACAGCAGCAGCAGCAGCAGCAACCGAAAACGCCACAACAAAAACAACAGCAAACACCGTATCCACAAGCAAGCCGCCGCCATGAATCGCGTGCTGAGTCGAAAAACAAAATAAGCAAAGAAAGAGCGAACAAAATAAAAGACGATAAAAGCAGAGAGAGTAATGAAGCAACAACAACAGTAACCGCAAGTGGTGGAGCAGTAGCGCCACTTGAGAGGGGTGAGCAATCAACAATTACGACAACAATGTTAACAAATAAGGCAAAAGATGCGACAAAGCTGGGAGACTCGATGGCATGCGCAGCAGCCATGTTGCCAAGCACGAGAGCAGCTGCAGCCGAAGAATACATTACTCAGCAGACTGCAGGTGGAGCNAATGTTAACAAATAAGGCAAAAGATGCGACAAAGCTGGGAGACTCGATGGCATGCGCAGCAGCCATGTTGCCAAGCACGAGAGCAGCTGCAGCCGAAGAATATATTGCTCAGCAGACTGCAGGTGGAGCAGCAGCAACAACAACAACCACAACAACGAGCACAACTAATGCTCCAGCCACTGCCGCTCAGCCGCAAGCAGCAGCGATTGTAGCGCCAATAACAAATCCAAATCAAATTGGCGCGCAAACTGACAACAAGTCTGAGTGCGGTGAAAATGCCAAGGTTTATAGCAGCATGAGTCCACAACATGTTGCCGAACCTGTCACTAACAGCAGTGCCGCAACTGAACAGGCAGTTAGTTCGAGTTTGACAAGTCTGCAAAACGAAACAATACCCGCATTGGTGGTGGGCAGACCAACAGACGTTCGGAAGCTGTCAACCACAGCAACACCAACAAAAGCAACAATCATTATAACACCAGCTGAACCAACAGCAGGAACAGCTGCAACCATAACACAGTTAACAACAACAACACCAACTAACGATACATCAGCGCCAGCAATGGAATGCGCTACATTGGCTGCTCAACTGTTAACAGCAGCAACAAAGTCAACAGCAACGCTGACGCCCACCGCAACAGCGTCGTCATCGACGACGACAACAGCAATGCGCGATGCCACTGTGCCAACAGCAGCAACGACTTCGCCAGCAACCAGTGCGGCCAACTCTACAGCCAGTTGTATTTCGGATATCGCAGGTGTCGCTACGCTTTCGTACAGGTATGTCGCACGCGCGCGCGTTTCATATTTTTTTTT